GCAACTCAATTATCAGAAAACTAAAGTCACAGCATTTGCAAAAAGGCCCAAAAACTCTTTCTGGAGCATAGATGGCCACAAGATTGAACCTGTTTCCTGTTTCAAATACTTTGTCATAGTCCTTCATTCTGCCCATGGGGAGCACGTTGCTGAAAATGCAGAGGAGTCTATCATCCGTAAATATCTAAAGACTAGAGATTGCCATTTTTTACCCACAGCTCTTAGTTTATTTGAAGCCCAGAGGTCAACACAGCTTCTCTGTGGTGCCCACCTGGGTCTCTTCTCCGATTTCACATAATCCAAATTTCTAAGAGCACCTCTTCACATCCCTAATTGCGTTTCTAATGCCACCTTGCGATTGGAGACCACTTTCATGAAAGTGGAAGCTAGAATCTGCTTGCCCATACTCAACCACTGGGTCAGATGATCTTTCTTTTCCCCAAGGCCATACCCCACTAAAGACGAATGGCGACTTCCAATTTGTGTAGAAACACGCAGGGGCCACCAAAAATGTCATCCTTGGGCTTTTTACACTTTATATGGCTCTTACAAACAACTGCTTTTAGAAAGTGAAAGTAAAGAGAAAGGATACAGAAACAACTCCAGAACAGATTGAAAGGAATGATATCACAAAGTGCTGCAAAAAGTGAGGAGTTATGCTAATGGGAAGCAGAAGGAAGTATAACTGATGGAATGATGATATCAATGAGGCTGTGGATGAAAAAAAATACATAAGAGCCTGCTGCAAAACTAGAGGAAGATTCAATTTATTGAAATATTTGTTTCTGTTGTGTTTGCAGAAGTGTATAATTCTTTTAAAAATTCAAGACACTTTTTACAAATACTTTTAGTCATAGTACAAAGTAACCTATATTATCTTATTTTCTTTAATGCATCTTCCTTGCTTCACTGTTTAAATCATATTTGCCAATTCTTGTCAGTTACTTTTGCTTTAAAAATAAAAGTTGGGGTGGTGTTTTCTTGGTCTCTAAAATATTACACTCTTTTTTTTCTCATTTTCCCATTCCTTACCCAGATTGATTCAAAATTTTCATTACTTTTTGCATAAATATAATTTGATTCTGATTTGGAACATATATATCAGCTAGCATTATCATTTTATTATCAAACTTCCCTCTGAGGAAAATAAGTCTTCTTTTTAAATCAGATTTTTTTTTTACCATAAGGCTTATATTACCTTAAAATAGAACAGTTATATTACTTTTTTTTTTTTAATCCGCACTTAATCCTGACCGATTCTGCGGCGACTGCCTGGACAAGTCCCTGCAGTTTTCAAGGCAAGGTGTTTCGG